AATATCAAAGTATTATATATATAATTTTTTCCCTGCAGCTGCTTCTTAAAAATAAGCTAACCTCTCCTCAAATAGCTCATGCGCATTCCTTATCTGAAGGTCGGCCGGCCAGGGTTTCTGAACTAACGCAGAGCATGCCTCTAAAACAATTCTTTGCATATGGTCATAATTTATACACCACGTTAACAGAGCAGATGCTATAAATGCTCACTCTTGGGGGAAGGCCCAGGTATCCCAGCACCAGGAGGAGAATTCGGGAGGGATGTGCTGCTCCACAGCAGTCCCCTCCCCCCAGTGGGGGTGGAGCCGAGCTGTAGGTTTGTGGGAGAGGTTCAAGGTGAGGGGCCTGGGCAGTTGACAGAGGGGACGCACCTAAGGCTGTCTGCTGGCTACCTTAGGTCTTCTCACACTTATTGGACATGGAGAGCCAGCTTGGGAGGAGAGGGCTGTCATTGGCCGAAGAGAGTTGCTGCATAATAAAAGGAGCCATGAGAACTGCCTCTCTTCCCCTGTAACTACCATGTTGAATATTCCGAACCCCAAGCTAATAACGATAATCACTGTCATTTCCCAAAGGTCTATTATGAACCAGGTCTTTATGGACACCACCTCCCACCTTCTCCTAAGGAGCCTGCATGTGCAGAATTCTCATTCACCAGCCAGCATGCAAAGCCCATCCTTCAGGGGCACCTGGGTGGCTCAGTCGGTTAAGTGTCTGCTTAAGTGTCCGACTCAGGTCATGATGTCACGGTTCGTGAGTTCGAGCCCCACGGCGGGCTCTGCCTCTGCACTGATAGTGCGGAGCCTGCTTGGGATTCTCTTTCCCTGTGCCTCCCCTGCTCGTGCACATGCGTGCTCTCCTTCTCAAAACAAACAAACTTTAGAAAGAGCCAGTCCTTCAACTGCGAGATGCTTTTGTTGTTCCCTCATCACCATGTTTTAAAAGGAAGATACTAGGGGTGCCTGGGTGGCTCAGTCGGTTAAGCGTCCGACTTCAGCTCAGGTCACGATCTCGCGGTCCGTGAGTTCGAGCCCCGCGTCGGGCTCTGGGCTGACGGCCCGGAGCCTGGAGCCTGCTTCCGATTCTGTGTCTCCCTCTCTCTCTGCCCCTCCCCCGTTCATGCTCTGTGTCTCTCTGTCTCAAAAATAAATAAACGTTAAAAAAAATTTTTTTTAAAAAAGGAAGATACTAGATACAGAACAATTACCTGTTGTATGAAAGTGCGGCTTCTCTGCAGTGACATCATCTTCTGCTCTGCACCAACACATGGCCCTGCTCCTCATCCTTCCCTCTCATGAGCATGTCACTTCCTCTTCTCCCCACCCAACCAGGGCTGCCCATCTCTGAAGCCCAGTCTCCTCCAGGAGGCCCTCTGGATTTCTCCAGCCATCATGGCCCTTCCCTTCCTTTGAGCCCCAAGCATCCCTTCCAGCCCTCTCTGTGTTGTGTCCTGTTGCTCTAGGCACATTGGTTACATCTCCCAACTAGACTAGGAAATCCCCAAGGCCCAGGCCATGTCTATGTACCCCATCCACCCGCCAGGGTAAATGATGGAGGTAGGCAGCTATGAAGGGTGCGAGACCACCAGTGTTGAAGCTACACCAACCTGAGTCGGACTCTCTGTTCCATCACACTGGAGCACGATGACTTGGAGCAAGTTCCCCCAGACTTGCAGAGTCTCACTCGCTCTTCTAGCTCAAGGGTTAGAGCAGTGGTTTCACTAGGGCCTGCCAGTAAGCCAAAAGTCTCTGTGCTTACCCGTGTATAGTGGTTAAGGGCATGGACTCCAGAGCCAGACCGTCCAAGTTTTAATTCTACTTCTGCTACTCCCCAGGTTACTAACCCAGTCTTTGCCTCAGTTTCCTTGTGTGTAAAATGAGAATACTAACATTTATGTCATTGCATTGTCATAAGAATCAAATGAGGTCTTTTACGTACTAGTCTTTAGAACAATTCCTGGCATGTAGGAAGTAATTGTATTGTTTGATTTGTCATTATTATATCATTATTGATTTGTCATTATTATATCATTGGACTTGCCATTATTATATTATTGGATTGCCATTATTGTATTATTATTGTTATAGAACATTATTGTTATACAAAACGTCCCATCTGCTTTAAATGTTACTATGGGTGAAATGATATCATATATAAAAAGCCGGGCACCGTGAGCACTAAACAAGTAGTCATGCCCTTCCCTCACCTTCCCACCGTGCCCGGTTCTGAGAGATGCTCTGTAAATTCTTGTGAACTGATGAATACCTTTTCAAGGGCTAGAGAGATAAGCTATGCCTTTTCTCACTTAGAGGCTATTAGATCTAGGTTCTAATAGCCTTATCTCTTGGTTTGGCAATATAAATAGCTAATTATATTAAGTGTTGCTTACTTGCCAGACACTGGGCTAAATACTTCATAGGTTATTTTTCTCAGTCCTTACAATTTGTGTGGTTGTTTCTGCCCATTTGTACAGAGGGGAACACTGAGGCCCAGAGAGGTTAACTGACCAGGTCACTCAGCAGGTGCACGGCAGAAACAGGACACCACGGATATCCACCTGACTTTAAAATCTGTGTACTGACCCCTGCACAACTCATCCTCCTGAGAGAAACTCCCTGAATAAAAGGGAGAGTCAGAGGCCCCAAGATATCATCTGCCCTATAACTCAACATTTCCTGAGTATCTTCTAGTGACAAATACCAGGTTTTGTATTAGAGACCACAGAAGTCCAGCCAGACACAGTCCTTAAGCTATAATAGAGAGGCTTTCCTGGATGGCGAATGGGCTACTATGTTAGGTAGAGTGAAAGAAGGCCCTGTCCAAAGAAGGCAAAACTGCCTTTGCCAAAGTCACTTTGATGCCAGTGTGGGGCAGTAAGTAAGGACAAGGATCTGCTGCTTGACGCAGGGAAGAGCCCTCAGGAAGCCCAAACATGGATAAGGAAAGCAGGCTGGTAAGAAATAGGATAGCCCACCAGGAAGGAGTCAATTTCCTGCCAAGGAAATTGTCCATCCAAACCATCCTCATGATCAGAAGGATTGGCCTCCTCCCCTGAGGGCAAGACAGGTGCAATGGGGCATTTGGGTATGGTGGGCCAAGAGTGAGGGAAGAGAGCAAAGCCGAGGGACCAGGCCCCTGCCAGCCCCTCCATGAACAGCTGGAGAATATTTTTTCAGGAAAGAAGGTGATGAATCACCTTTCCAGAACCTGCCCCCTGCAAGTCCTCCAACCATGTTTGTTAAATATAGGGTCAAATGGGCAAAGGCAGAACAGCTGCCTGGGTGGAAACAATCCCTGTGTCTACTTTCCCTCTCATTCCTCAGTTCCTTCTCATCAGGCTGGAGGGTGTGTGTCACATCCCAGAGTCACTGTTCTGGCCTCCCACATACCACCCACCATACCTCATAAACCCCGTCTCCAAGGATGGATAGGAAAACCTCCCAAGAGTGAATCCCTGAGCTCATTCCCATTTCGGAGCCCACTGGACAAATCCCGCGGCTAACAGCAGAAAAAGAGAACACAGCACAAACTCCTAGCAGAGACAGGCCCTCTGGAGCACAGGGTGAAATCTTGCTTTCCTCCCACACGCCATCACTCAAACCTGTCAGCTTCCAAAAATGTTTAGCAAGTGCAGCAGCAAGGGGCATGCTTATCAGCCTGGCCTGGGAGCTTAATCTGCTTCGAGAGCCTTCTCCAGCCCAGAGTTCCAAAAGTCTGCTTACAATTAGCTCCCAGCTCCAGTTCCTCCATCGGAAAGGTTAGCACTGTGTTGAGTTCTAGCCTCTGATCAGAGAAAGCTCCAGGAGAAGGTGGAGACAGTGTCAGCAGAAAAGAAAGTGCCAAAAAGGTCAGCTGGTCTGTTGCCACTTCCCTGACACCAGCCCCAAACCACCTCCCCCTCTGGCTTCCTGCCTCTCCTGACTGGGACAGTCACATCCGTCAGGTCAGCCTGTCCCCAAAAGTCCCTGCTGAATGACTGCCAAGAAAATACAGCATGCCCCTGCTCCCTCCTACCAGATGAGGGAAAAAAAAAAAAAAAAAAAAAAAAAAAAAAAAAAGGGAGCAGGGAGGGCAGAAGGCCAAGAGAAACTGATTGGCCCTTGCTGATTTCCTTAAAAGAGATTGCATGGCCAAGGCCTGTCACCCAGCCGGACTGGGTGATGCAGGCTCTGTCTGGAAAGGTAGAAGTCACCAATTCTCTTCAAGCCCAAGCCACCAGCCATCCCCACACCCAGTCACCCAGGCTACCAGCGCCAGGATTTACTACCCAGGAAGGAGGGGCTTAACTTCAGGCAGCCATTTGGAAACAGCCACCCCCACCCCCACCGCCATCCTCACCCCCCACCGCAACAGCCAGCCAAGACGCCAGGAGTCTCCAGCTGCCTGCTTCCGCTGGTGCAGCGGGCACTCCTAGGGCAGTCCCAGCACAGTGCCTGGAATCCTGTCGGCCCAAGGGACGGGCAGGGGCAGGTCATCTTCAGACCGAGGGGAACAGGTTGATTGCACCCCCCAGACACCTTTTCCTGGATCTTGCAGCCAGACCAGGGGGCATCGAGCCCAAGAGACTTCAGACCATTCCTTGGCAGACACAGAATCTCTGCAGAACCGACAGCCAACCAGCCGCTGCAGAAGATACTGCCTTCTTGAGGCCAAGCTCTCAACATGCAGGAACTGACATTTCCAGAGCCGCACGGTTGTGTGTGTGCGTGCGTGTGTGTGTGTATGGACACGCCACCCGTACCCCCCAGAAGGAAGCTGCTGGCATACCCCCACCTCGGTCTCTCAAAGCTCCTGAAGGCAAACCTCTGGCACCCGGGCCACACCCACCGGCCAGCCCACTCTCCTAGCGCATCCCCAGATCTGCCAGCCTAAGTAGAAGGGCTCCCTTCTCCGCCCACCGGGTAGCCCTTTCACTCCTCCAGCCGTGCCACCTTCCCCCCAAGAAGTATTCGCCAGCCCACCCTCCCAGAACAGTGCCCCAGCACACATCGCCTCTCACCTGGGTATCGAACCCGTTTTCCACCGAGCCGCTCTTCCGCAGCGGGAGCCCCTCCCCCGCCGGCTCCTGCAGCCCCTGGGATTTCAGGGGGATCTGGCTAGGGTAGGTAGTCTTGCTCACCTCCACCTTGCTTCCCAGCTTGAGGTAGCAGGGCTGGGGGCCGGCCCGGGCTGGGGGCACGTGCAGGATGGGCGCGGCGCTGTGCACGGGTTTGGGCAGTCCCGACTTCATTTTGGAGGCGACCAGGATGGCCGGCATCTTCTCCCGGGGCTTCGGCTTTCCCAGCACGTCCCTGGCAGCGGCGGCGGAGGCGACCGCTAAAGGCAGCGCGGGCAGCAGAGCAGGCGCCGGGCCTCGGCCCGCGAGGCGCCCACCACCAGCGGAGGAAAAAAAAAAAAAAAAGAAAAAGAAAGCCCCGGGTCTGGGAGTCAGAGCAAACCGGCGAGCGCGCCTTCGGGTTGTAGGATGGGGCAGAGGGACTGGTCGCTGCGCTCAGCTGGTTCCACCTGGATGGATGCTGAAGGCGGGTTTCTCGCGCGTCCTAGGCGGCCTGTTCAAGGGATCTGGGCGCTCAGGGGCTGTTCCCTCTTTCGATTCTCCTCCTGGGAAACCGAGGCTTGGACGCCCATATTAACTTGTCACTGCATCTCCGAAGTGAGGAGGCCCCTTTGGGAGAGGAACGGCGGGGCCGCGTGGCTTCCCGCTCCGGGAGGCTGCGGGTGTGAGGGTGAGGGAAGCAGCGAGCAGCGGGGGGAGGAAGGCGCGAGCAGAGGAGGAAGGAGAGGGAGGACGCACGGAGCCCAAGACGCCTCCACCAAGAGGCAGCTGCTGCCCTAACCGCGAGCACCGCAGTGTCACCCGCGACGCAGAGGCGCGGCGACAGCCCCCGAAAGGTCTCTCTAGGCGTGACAGTCACGACTGCTCATAAGTCCCCCGGACAGATAGCACCTTAGCGCCTGTAGGTCTGCACATGCTCCGTGAGCTATAGCGCAGCTAGGCTGTGGCCGTGGGGCGCGGGCACCCGGACGCGCGGCTGGCGGGCTGGGCAGGGCTGCGCTCGCGAGCGGCGGCCCCGCTTCCCGGGAAGGCTGCGCTGGCTGCGGGGCTCCGAGCAGGGGAGTACAGGCTGCGGCCGGCGCTGCTGCGGCGCGCGCTGACAGCCCGGGCCGCCCCGGCGCGCCCATTGGTCCGTGGCGCGCCAATCAGCGACTGCAGCTCGCTCTGCAAAGGGGGCGTGGCCTCAACTCCCGGGCCGTGGCCGAAACTCCGGGGCCGCGCTTGGCCGCCAAGTACAAAGCCGGCTGGTGGCCGCTCTGCGGCACTGCTTCTGCTGCGCGCTTCCCAGCGGGCCGACACTCCCGCGTCCCTGAAACCCTCTTTTGAAAAATGCCCTTTCGAATGCAAAGGCCCGCCTCGGGGCCCCGCGGGCGAGGCTCGGGGGGAAGTTTGTTTCCTTTTTCAAATTGTTCTGGTCACCTTAACGGTTTGAATCTTCCGGAATCGCGCCCGCCGCCCTGCGGCCCCCCATCTGGTCTGGGCAGGGCTGTTCCTCGTCTCCGGCGTTAAGGACTCGCCAGCCATTTCTCCTCTTTTCTGCCTCACTTCCAGGCGGGCCGGGGGCCCTCCCAAGAGCTTCCTCTCCCGCTTTCAAAGCCTTCAGTTTTCACTTAACTATTTGAAGTATTTATAGGCAAATACACTACCCAGGGAAGCCTCCCGCCCCGAGTCAGCTCCCCCGTGCAACCTACTACAGATTCTGTCATCAGAGTGGCCGGAGGAAGCCAGGAGAGGTTCCATGACCCCGGCTGGCTCAGGCTAACCCTTGTTGCATTTCATGTAGCAGCCCCTCCCTGTCCGCGCCTTGGATGCACTGGCCCCACAGGTTCCTCGACTTTAATGCGTCCGAGGATTTCCCTCCTCTCAATTGCTCTTTGGGTTCCTCGCTGACGCAGAGTTTATGAGAACTGGAACGTATGATCCAGACAGGCCCGAGCCCTCTCGATTCATGGATTGGGACCCCCCACCCCGGAGAACTGCCTGGATTTAAACTGGGCGAGACCTTAAATCGTAATGCATCCTTAAAAAGCTTCGGTTTTCACTTGGAGCAAGGAGGTTTGAGTACATTTATATCATGCGCTGTTGTTTGGATTAAATGAATAGTGCATGACAGTTGTTAAGCACAAGTACCTGGCAGTGTAAAGGGGTCAGTAGAAGTTGGGCATTATTATCCCTGTTATTAAATTACTACGGCTACTTCCCATCGCCCCCCTCCCCCCAGTCATCTCTGCTTATAAGTTGTTTGTCTCTTCTCTCTGTCTCTAAGATACAGGTTTTCCCAGTATGTCCACCCTGTATCATGATTTACAATGCTGATAGCATTGATTTATCATTATCCAGACCAGAGGAAACCTCGAAGTTTTAAAACAACCTCTTGAAAAGGCATTAAGAAATGAGAAGGTGCTTTCTTACCCTGGCCTGCTCCCTCCCCAACCTTATCTTCCACAAATTCTACACGGCGACTTTCTACTGTAGCTAGGCTGAAGTACATAGTCTTGTATATAATTTCAGGTATTCCCCCTCTCTCTGAAATTAAATCATACGTAGTCTGTGCCACTTACTTAACACTCAGCCCTTCGCCATCTGATGCCACCGTTATTTATCATTTCATGTTTATTTTCTTTGAGAGTAAGCCTCATGAAGTTAGGAACTGTGTTTTGAACTTCCATTAGAGTCTCTCGGCATGAAGTATGCGGTGGACCCAACAGCTACCCAGATTGTTATCGAATAAATGAGTAAGGGATGACAGCAGCAATTCTCCAGAAAGGGAGCCTTTTAGATTGAGGTATATAATGTCATAAGACACGTTATACTATATTAAACCTTAGGACTCTCTCCCCAGAATTCTGGTTCATACAGACATACCAAGAGTCATGGGAAGATATTGCAGTCTTCGATAAAGTTCACAGAGATATTCCAAAGTAATTCCATGGCAGTGCTTCTCAAAGTATGGTTACCAGACCAGCTGCAGCAGCAGCACCGGAAAACTTGTTTGAAAACCCCACCCCTGAGCAACTCAACCAAAAGATCTGGAGGTGGGGCCTAGCAATCTAGGTTCAACAAGTGCTTAAGTCAGTGATTCTGATGCATATTAAAGTTTGACAGCTTACACCCTAATGAATATACCAGGCACTCAGTGCTCTTCCAGGGCTGCCTAAACCTTAATGTACATAGGAAATACTGGAGGTCTTGCTAAAATACAGATTCTGATTCAGAAGTTCTGGAATAGGGCTGAGGTTCTGCTTTCAGAATATGCTCCCATGCGATGCCCCTGCTGGTGGCTTGGAGATCACACTTTGAGTAGTAAGGCTAAACTGTAGGTAACAAAAGGGTTTCATCTCAAGGACCATCTGTACTTAAGTGACTTTCTGTCACACTGTGCTGAAAAGAATTGAGGGTGCATCTACCTAGTTTAGTTGGAAACAGCAGCCTAGTCAATTAATAATGTCTGTCATGGATGCAGAAATAGAAATGGTGACAGACGTGCTAAGTATTTGCCATCTTTGATCTCCTGTTTAAATCATATTTGCTGCCAAGGTCATTTTTTGGGTTCTTAGACCCTCAACTATGTGCTAATATGAAAAACAGTACATTCTTTTTGGACTTCTTCCTAATCCTCTAGAATTTGGTAAACATTGAGCATGCACCTTGACCCTTTGTGAGTTTATAACTAAAGACTGCTAATTTCTCATCTTTCTTGATGGAAGCTGCGTGCATCTTTTAGTCTATTTCCAATTTCTTTGCCCACCTCTTCATCCTTTAATAATGTTATTTGCTCTTTCCCGGAACATTTTTCATTTCCCTTTATATCTTTCCTATTAACCTTCATTTTCCTTATTTAAAGCAAAATAATTTATCATCATAACCAGACAAAGTGAGAGTAAATCTACTTTTCCCCTGAGGCAAAAAAGGTAGTTACAAGGTTCCTCCTTAAATAAGATCATTGCGAATTATAAAAATGCCCTATAAAGTTACTCCTTTCATATGTATGCTATGTTAACATGTAAGAAGTCATTTTAAATCAATATGTTTGGCATTGGCAGCTAAAGAAGGTACTGGTTCAGAGAATAGCAAACTGCTTTGGAAAGAACAAACTATCCAGATATATATATATATATATATATATATATATATATATATTTTTTTTTTTTTTAATTCTTTTGATATTTATTTATTTTTGAGGGAGAGACAGAGTGTGAGTGGGGGAGGGGCAGAGAGAGAGGGAGACACAGAATCTGAAGCAGGCTCCAGGCTCTGAGCTGTCGGCACAGAGCCCCATGTGGGGCTCAAACTCACAAACTGCAAGACCATGACCTGAGCTGAAGTTGGACGCCTAAGTGAATGAGCCACCCAGGTGCCCCCCCCAAAATATTTTTAATTGTTTTCACTATGGATAGCGCACCATTTTAAGTCTCAACTTTGACAACTCTCCTTTTCTCTCACTCTGAACTTTCCAACTCACCCACGTGTCAGTGACGGCCTAATTTGAAACTTACCACCAAAGCTCTCAGGATCACTGAATCATCCTAAGAGCTCCGACAGTTCCCAGGTTCTAAGAGCCATCCTCACATCCGGATGCTCCAACTGCTTTCTGATCCTCAATATCAGCCACTGGTGATTAGGTGGGTGTGAATTAGGCTTCAGAGCTGACCTGCAGTTGACCAGCCCCATCAACCCATCCTTCATCTGAGTGAAAGACCCCTCGCTGTGCCTGACCTCCCAAGAAGACAGTCCTGTGAAGAACCCGAGACATCTAAACCCCAGCCTATCACAGAAATATGGAAGGGTCTTGAGAAAAAGTCAGCAGTCTCTTGGAAACCCTTGACTATAAATGACGAAGGGAAAGGTTGCAAGTCTCTGGAATAATATAAAAAGCATTCATGAGTTTATACGGGAGTAAAAATAAAGTCACACTAGCTTATTTTTGAAAACACACTTTTCCTTAATTTTCTATGGGCATGGGTTGGCAACTTATGACACATATCTCAGAGGTGGTACAAATACCCACATTTTGGTAGGGCCCAAATCGAGAGCGTACCTATCTCAGACTGCAGAGAAGCCAGGCTAAGAATCTTAGCCCAGCTCTTTAGAAAGCCCACTCACCCTGCTCCTCACTCACTTCTAACCTACCTTCTTCCAGATGGCTCTGTGTGCAGAGCAATATGCATAATGGTGACCTCTGGGAGACTGTGGGTTTGCCTACCTGTAGAGGTTGGATTGTGGGGAGTGTGTTTGTATGCGTGCACGTGCGCATGCGTGTATGCTTGCGTTCACGCAAATAGGGAGGGGCTCAATCATTAATTCAATGAATAAATTGTTGAGGGTCATTTGTGTGCCAGGCTTTGGGCATTATGATAGAGAGTAAGTAAAAGTCTTGTTCCCTGCTTTCAAGGTCCAAAGAACGATGCACCTGCTGTTTCCCAGTCAGAGGATTGCCCTTTTACGCAATTAAAAAATGGAAATCCGGGGGCGCCTGGGTGGCTCGGTCGGTTAAGCGTCCGACTTCGGCTCAGGTCATGATCTCACGGTCCGTGAGTTCGAGCCCCGCGTCGGGCTCTGTGCTAACAGCTCAGAGCCTGGAGCCTGTTTCAGATTCTGTGTCTCCCTCTCTCTCTGCCCCTCCCCTGTTCATGCTCTGTCTCTCTCTGTCTCAAAAATAAATAAACGTTAAAAAAAAAATTAAAAAAAAAAATGGAAATCCGAAAGTGATGCAGGTCAGCTCTGAAGCCTAATTCACACCCACCTAATCACCAGTGGCTGATACTGAGGATCAGAGAGCAATGCAGTTGGAGCATCCTGATGTGAGGATGGCTCTTGGTTTACGCAATTCAGGAAGGGGAGCAAACCGGGAAATAAATGACAAGTAGTAAAACTAATACGCTAATAGTTTTAGAGTACTGCAAAATATACTGCGATAAATGAGGCACAAAGGAGAATCCACTCTCTGTGAGGTTAGCAGCTACTTTGATTAATGAAACTTTCTTTTTTTTTCCAATGAATTCCATTCATTATTATTAAAGGTTGTGGGAAAATGTTGATAAAACAAAATATAC